GGGGCGTGCAAACCATGATTTCCTATGGGAAAGGCATTAAAAGAAACGGCTGGAGGGGGGTTAACTTTGTGAAAAGCAGAAACTGAAGTTAGCTTAAGGAAAAAAAGAAAAAAAAAAGAAAAGGAAAAAAAAAACCAGAAGTGCGAGTGTGCGTGCGTGTGCGTGTTCCAAGAATAACACTAGCATCTACCAGACAAAAGTAGGGCAAAACCTTGCAAATTAAACCACGGCGACTCGGGGGGGGGCTGCCACACCTTTGGGTATTGAGATTGCTGGAAAACTGCATTCCAGGCTTTAAAAGAGAATGGGTTCTTGGTTAATTAGGCTTGGGAAGGCCATGGGGTTTCTCTAACCGTTCAGGCAAGCGGCGCCTACCGGGGATGTTTGCTCCGGTCCCCGCGCGAATTATCCTTCTGAAAAATAAACAAAAAGAGCACTTTTTTAATACTGGAAAAGGGTTTTTAGAGGGAGCTGGGGGAGCCTTATGCTTCTGGACCTCCGGGAAGAGTCACCCTAGGAACAGAACCCCCCCGGGACAGGCCTGGAAGGCTGGGAACCCACGGCTGGAAGAGCAGGCCGCGGTGAGATCGCACCCGTCAGCGGGACGGGCAAAATGCCATTTTCACCATCTCTTTGTGCTTTGGGGTCTTTAACATGGGAATTATTTCAAGCTCCTAATTGGATTTTTAGCTGGATAAGAGATAGGACCGATTAGTGACATTTACTGATAAGATTGGGTAGCTAAAGTGAAAGGATTAAATAAGGACCAAATTATGCAGCAGCAAGTAATTTAGCCCAAGGATTTTTAGGGGCTCTGAGCAACTGTCTGTTTTCTTTTTAATTTCCCTGGTAAGTGGTTTGGGGTTGGTTTTTGTTGTTTGGTTTTGTTTCTGTTTTTTTAATGTGTACCTTCTTTTAATTAAAAAGAATTCAACAACAGCGGCACTACGAGGCCTCTGGGCACTACAGGAAGAGACATTAATTCCTCCAAGACCAGATCTGCAGTTTTGCAGCAAAGGTTAAAAGGTGGCAGCCCTGAAATTAGGAAAAAAAAAAAGAAAACAAACCCCAAAAACCCAATAAAGGGTTAGTCTGAATTGCAAACAGGCTGGAGTAGAGAGAAAAAGAAAAAATAAAAAAAAAAGCTTTCTAAAAAAGGATTGGGTTTTGCTTTGAGTTCTGCTTTTCTGTTCTGCAATCAAGGCACACGTGAGCAGCCAGTCTGGTAGTAAAGACAGATTAAGTAAAACAGGTTTTACTGTTTAGCTCAATTCAATTAAACACAAATGTACATAAAATGTTAATCATGTGAGATTAACATATTTAAGTATAACGCGGAGGGGCATATACATAGCTATTATATACGAGCACTTGACTACCAACTCCACCCCTCCTTTACCTTTTGTTTTTTATTATTATTGTTATTATTATTAATTTTTCCAAGGCTCCATCTGACATAAAGCCACGACTGGGTTCTTAGTCTCCACGTCTGACGCTCCCCGCTCCGGTCCCGGCCGCGCTGGGGGCAGGGTTTATTTTTAAATGCTCTTATTCTGCAGTCGAGTGTTGAAAATGTTGAACCGGTCCCATTTGTTTTCACTCTGTATTAGTTTTAGTTCCAGGCGTAGCCGATCCCCATTCAGGTGCTATCAGATGACCAGTTACTGCTTAGTTAACTAGATGTAAAGTTTTACATATATATTAATGTCAATAGTTTTATTACAAGTTGTGTAAAATGGACTCTCTAGTTTAAAAAAAAGAAGAAAAAAAAAAAAAAGAAGAAAAAAAAAAATTAGGTCTCTCCTGAAATTGACTTTAGAGCATGGAAAATGATTTTACTGGATTCTGTTCAACTGTAATCAAGGAATAAAAAAAATATGTATGTTGTAGAAAAAGTCGCAGAATTAAAAAAAAAAAGATCTGCTTTTAATTTATTGTTTTTGTATTAAGAATTTGTATAGTTACCTTTACATTTTGCAAAACGGTGTTGTCAACACTTCCTTATTAAAGCATTTTCAAAATGAAGCTTTGCCGTGGTCTCTCCGGGAGGGTCCTCACCGCGGGGGCCGCACTCCCCACCTCTGCCAGAGGCTGGGCCCAGATGTGCACACAGCTGGCCAGGGGTGTCCTCCTGCTGCCGGGGAGCACGTTGGGTCTTCTCCCTGTAAAGTCCCTCCTTCTGAGATCCCTCGGAGGATGGGATCCTTCGGAGATGCCCAAGAGGGACAGGGAGAAACCACCGCGGCAGGAAATAAAATCACCAAAATAACACTTAACTTCTAACACACGTAACTTAAAAAGACTAAAATTAACACTCTCTTACATGAACTGGACACTGAGGAGGCAGGAGGGGGCCAGCAGCAGCACCACGGTCCATAGGGGTGGACCGTGGACTTGAGCCCACCCCCAGAGCTCTTTGGGGAACCTGGGTAGGGACCACCTGCTCCTTGGGCTACATTCCTGCAGAAACCCTGGGTCAATCATACAATCATCTAGGTTGGAAGGGACCTTCAAGGTCATCTACTCCAACCATCAACCCAACTGCGATAAAAAAACATCACTAAATCATGTTCCCCAGCACCATGTCAATCATCTCTTGAACACCTCCAGGGATGGTGCCTCAACCACTTCCCTGGGCAGCCCATTCCAAGGCTGGACAACCCTTTCCATGCAAACTTTTTTCCTAATATCCAATCTAAACCTCTCCAACCCTTTCCATGCAAACTTTTTTCTTAATATCCAATCTAAACCTCTCCTGGTGCAACTTGAGGCCATTTCCTTTTGTCCTAACTCCTGTGACTTGGGAGAAGAGACCGACCCCCACCTCTCTACAACCTCCTTTCAGGTAGTTGTAGAGAGTGAGAACCTTCAGCCTTCTCTTCTCCAGGCTGAACAACCCGGGGAGTTGGAGAGACCACTAAGATCCCCCCTCAGCCTCCTCCAGGCTCAACACCCCCAGTTCCCTCAGCCTCGCCTCATAAGACTTACTCTCCAGACCCCTCACCAGCTTCGTTGCCCTTCTCTGGACCCGCTCCAGCACCTCAATGTCTTTTTTATGGTAGGGCGCCCAAAACTGGACACAGTACTTGAGGTGGGGTCTCACCAGTGCCCAGTACAGGGGGACGATCACCTCTCGGGTCCTACTCCCCACGCTGTTCCTGATACAGGCCAGGATGCTGTTGGCCTTCTTGGCCACCTGGGCACACTGCTGGCTCATGTTCAGCCGACAGTGGACCAACACCCCCAGGTCCTTTTCTGCCAGGCAGCTCTCCAGCCACTCTGCCCCCAGCCTGTAGCGCTGCCTGGGGTTGGTGTGACCCAAGTGCAGGACCTGGCACTCAGCCTTGTTGAACCTCATCCCGTTGGTCTCAGCCCATCGATCCAGCCTGTCCAGATCCCTCTGCAAAGCCTCCTCTACCCTCCAGCCGGTCGACACTTCCACCCAATTTGGTGTCGTCTGCGAACTGACTGAGGGTGCACTCCATCCCCTCCAATCCCTGATCTCCCCCAGCCTCTGTTGCCCAGGCAGCAGCAGGCAGCAGTGACCCCTGCGGCCACCCACCAACCCTCCACAATGGCCACCCTTTTCAAACAGCCACACGCTCTCCACGTTGGGCCCATCCACACTTCCCAGTTCTTCCCATTTATTCCCACCGTCCAGCAAGCTCCTTTCCACCCCACCACCTCCTGTATCAACCACCTGTAACCACCCATTCCCCCTGTAACCAACCACCTCCTGTATCAACCACCTGTTCCCCCACCCACATACCACAAGCCACCAGTGGCATCACCCCCAGACCCAGGAGGCCACCCCAACCATCACCCAGCATCACCACGTGGGTGACAGTATCCTGCACTACATCCCCAAAAGGTTTGGGAGGGGACAAAAAGGCAATGATAAATTTTTTCAGACATGCCCCCAACTCTGGAATTTTGGCCAGACTTATTGCTGGTGGCTCCAAAACTGCTGCAGGCACCGCTTCAAGCTCTACAGCATGTCAGGAGCAGCTTTGCCAACAGCTGGCTCCAGATGTGACACTGGCACCGACCCCCTTGCACCAGCTCCACTCCAGGGCACCACAGCACGTGCTCATCCCCGGGGCGAGGGCACATTCTGGGGACTGAAGCCATCTACATGTCAGCCACCTTCACTCTTTGGGCAAAACCAGATCTACAATGGAGGCAACACGGCAGCCAGAAGGAAAGGAACCCAGTTCCTCCGTCAAAATAAATCGATCCCACATACATAAAAACATGGAATGGTTTAGGTGGGAAGGGACCTTTAAGATCATCTAGTTCCAACCCCCCTGCCCTGGGCAGGGACACCTCCCACTAGACCAGGTTGCTCAAAGCCCCATCCAGCCTGGCCTTGAACACCTCCAGGGATGGGGCAGCCACAGCTTCTCTGGGCAACCTGGGCCAGTGTCTCACCGCCCTCACAGTCAAGAATTTCATCCTGATATCTCATCTAAATCTCCCCTCTTTCAGTTTAAAACCATTACCCCTCATCCCAACACTCCACTCCTTCATAAAGAGTCCCTCCCCATCTCTCCCGTAGGTTCTTTAGGTACTAGAAGGGTCTATAAGGTTTTCTCGGGGCCTTCTCTTCTCCAACCTGAAGAACCCCAACTGTCTCAGCCTGTCCTCACAGCAGAGGAGCTCCAGCCCTCTCTGATAAACTTATAGCCTCCCTTAGACTCCCTCCAACAGGTCCACGTCCTTCCTGTGCTCAGAACTCCAGAGATGGACACATCAACCCCAACAGCCTTTCCAGCAGCACAGACAAAGAGCAAATAAGGATTATAAACGCGTTCCACTACTGTCAGGCGTGACAATCCCGGTATGAGGCAGACACCATGAACTCTGAGAGCACCACTTCCCCCAGCCCCTTCCACCGCTGGGCCAGGGGAGGGGTGGGGGCTGCAACAAAACCCACCAGGAGCACTGAAGTCCCCCAAACGCTCCAGACGTGGCTACAGTGAAGGCAATGACTTCATCCTAAGGCTCCGAGTCCCGGGATTCAGCGGAGTTATTTCCGCCCAGTGCAAGAATTATCAGAAACAAACATCTGGAGGAGCCCAGAGGGAAAAGCCCAAATGGCTGAAGTGAAAGGTCCCCTCCCCACTAACGCTGTCAGGCGGTGTGACAGCCACACCACACCCCCTCCTCCCTCAACCAGACTCGGGTGGGTTGGGGAATTTTTTTTTGGCTAAAAAGGCATTATTAACTATTTCCTCACAGTCTGGTAGCTGTAATTTGGGGCCATCCAGCTGCAAAAGAGCCTCTAAGGCCTGATGAGAAGCAGCTGGTGTAACAGTGTCCTGTCCCCCCCCCCAGCCCCGGGGATGGGAGCTGGCTCTCACGTGCCGGGCAGCTGGAAGCTCTTACAGGGAGATGCCGTGAGAAAGTCCTCCTCAGCTCCTCGCTTCCCCGTGCGGCACCATTCCACACATTGCAAGGGATAAAGCTCTTCCGTCCCGGGATCCACCGGAGGAAGGGGGCTGCGTTTCAGGGGCTGTCAGCAAGGGAGGCACGTCGCTTCAGTTACATTCCTTAAAACCTGCTCAGAGTGAAAACATTCCAACCCCAAACTCACATCCCTACAGGAGGCGCATCCCCACTCCAACCGGTGCTCGGGGAACCGTTAAAACTCTCCTCAATAATTAGCTTTAAAGACAGGATTGGAGAAATAAAAACCTATCTAATACTATTACAGATGCCCTGAGGAATCCAGTTCCCTCTCAAGCAGACGTTACAACGCTCCTTAAACCGTCCCCTGGCTACTCACTCACTTCCAGGGAAATTATAGCTCTTCTAAAGGAGGGACAATACTGTCCCTCGATTATTTAAAGGGTTCCAAACGAAGGTCAGGACAGCGATTTAGAAACAGTTCAGGAAATCATCTGGGCGGGGAGCAGGATAAAGTTGCGGCGTTATAAATGTTTCCTGTTGTACCGATGCCTCCGAAGAATTATCTGCACAGAGCACTGAGGAAACACATCACCAGACACCACTGTTAATGAAACTCTTCCACGCTCCCGACATCTGCCCAGCTTCTCCTCACAAACCCCCGTCCGTTCCCTAAGGGCCCCTTCCCCACACGCCCACAAGGTCTCCTCAGCCTCATTTTTATCACATCTAAACTGTTCAAGCTCTTGACATTTGTCTCCGGGGTCAGACACTCCAGACTGAAACACTCCCGCCTCCAAAGAGGCACTTCAGAATCCAGAAAGTCTCCAGAAGAACCTGAAGTTCCTCAAGACGCTCCTCCATACTCACTGCCAGCACAAAACTCCCCCCAGTGTCACATCTCAGGGTTCCAGAAGACATGGTGGATACTCATGGGAGATGGTAACTCCCTTCAGAAGAGGGCACTTGCTCCTGCTCCATGTATCCAGGCCAGGCGAGGACTTGGACAAACCAACACACTGAGTATTGACCTATTTCTTCATCTGCTCACATTGTACCAGGCCTACAGCTGTCGTGTTAAGTCCAGGCAAAGACTTGGACAAACCAACACAATGAGTATTGACCTATTTCTTCAGGAACCAGTTCTGCTCACATTGTACCAGGCCTACAGCTGTGGAGCTCCATAGTTAGAAGATCACAGCCTACAGGTGCAGATGCAGCAGAAAACCTGATGTCTCAAAGGAGCAGTAAGGAGATACCAGATCCAAAAACCTGATGGAATCCAAGCCTGGAGAGGCAGGACCAGGCCCTCCCTTCCCACTGGCTGCACAGAAAAGGCTTCTCCACAGGCAGTGGAGTGGACTCTGCCTCAGCTCTACAGGATCTGTGGAGCCAGACAGATGGGGGGCTGGATTCTCACAAATTTGGGCACTGGCAGTTATTAGCAGCCACTGCAACGATCAACCATTTGTTTGGAGCTTCTCTGTAGGTCCTGGAAAGGTCTCCTTAAGAGAATCACAAAATCATAGAATGGTTTGGGTTGGAAGGGACCTTAAAGACCATCAAGTTCCAACAACCCTGCCATGGGCAGTGACACCTCCCACCAGACCAGGTTGCTCAAAGCCCCATCCACCCTGGCCTTGAACCCCTCCAGGGATGGGGCAACCACAGCTTCTCTGGGCAACCTGGGCCAGTGTCTCACCACCCTCACAGTCAAGAATTTCTTCCTGATATCTCATCTAAATCTCCCCTCTTTCAGTTTAAAACCATCACTCCTCCTCCTATCACTACAATCCCTGATAAAGAGCCCCTCCCCATCTCTCCTGTACCCCCTTCAGCTACTGGAAGAAGCCATAAGGTCTCCCCAGAGCCTTCTCTTCTCCAGGCTGAACAACCCCAACTCTCTCAGCCTGTCCTCACAGCCGAGGTGCTCCAGTATCTTATCATCTTTGTGACCTCCTCTGGACCTGTTCCAACAGGTCCATGTCCTTCCAGAGCTGGACACAGCACTCCATAGTCCAGGATTCCAGAAGGACCCGTCAACACTGCTGCAGAGGTACTGCTGTTCTTGTAATTTAAGAAAACCCACATGCTTTCAGCCTAAGACTTTCAACCCGCACCACTAACCAAGTTTCAGTATTTCCCTGTTTCTGCAGAATAAGACATCACCGTTTCCACGAGCGCCTTCCCCGATCCCAGTCAAGACACAAAACGGTAAAGATTTGTGGCGGCCAGAAATACTGTACATGGTCATGGGAGGTCCTAATTATTTTCTCTGCAATGCCCAGCAGACTGAAATTTTCTCCAGATGTATAAAAATGGGATTTGAAAGCCTCAAGAGCCAAGATTACTTCCCCCAAGCCCAGAAGGTTTATATTAAAAATGTCGTTACGAAAAAGAAAAAAAGCCAAATCAGATGCATTCAAGATCAAAACCTCTTTGCACCGAGGCTGGCTGTATTTTTCAACTGAGAAATATATAAACCTTTTTCTTTTCTTTTTTTTTTTTCCTCCTGATAAATACCACATGAAAGATTAGCCATTAAAGTCTTCATATTTACAGAAATAACCAAGATTCAAATTCAACTGCTTCCCTCTAATCATCTCCCCACATCAGTCTCCAATGGGAAAGCAGCCAAAAAAGCTCCACAGATGCTCCTTGCGGGGCTGAGTCTCACCTAAAACTCTAAGATAAGGGAAACAGTTCGGTCTCTATAGTTCCCCAAATAACAAACTGAAATAAAAGGGTGGTGTTCATTGTCCCCTGGTCATCGTCCTGGTCATACCCCTTTCAAAAAAACCCTCCCTTCTGCTCTATATTGGACGCGTTCGGCATAAAGCACAGATTTAAAAACAAATCTAAATAAATGGGGCTTGTAAAAAAGGAAGCTGTAGAAAAATTGCCGCTTTGTGCTTTTCTGCAAAGCCCACCCCAGGTTCCTGTCGGTGTTAAAACACAAATTCTGTCTCTTCATCCTCTCTGGGTCTTGGGAGATCAAAACATGAGCCAGGCCTTGGACCCTGCAGAGCCTCATAAAGCGTTGTACTCCACACATTTCGACGGGTCTGTTGGGAAGTGCTTCTGGCAAATGGTCATGAGCCTCTTCAGCCCCTAGGAATTAACAGAACAAGGACAATCCTGTAATAAAACTGCAGCTGTCAAACAAACTTAAGAGTCTACAGTATTTTCAAGCTCAACAAGAAGAACTAAAAATAAAAAGCTGGGGTTGAGTTGGGTTTTTGGGGGTTGTTTTTCATCCTTTAAGTTTTATTAATCTTTCTCCCCGCAAAGTTCCAAGTTATCTCCAATATTAGAGGAGTCCGTGGCATAACCAAAGCCACCACAGATTTAGTCCCACGTGACAGATTCCAAGTGAAGAACCACAGTAACACTTCAATCCCTCCTCCCCATCCAGGAAGAACACAATACTACCACAATAAAAGATACTTTAAAGAAACCTGAACATTAAGAGTGATTTTATAGAGCAAAAAGCAATTTCTGACACCAAAACAAGCTGCACAGCTATGAAAAGAACCAGAGATTCCTCTGGAGGAGAGTTGTCCTTCCTCCCCACGGTGGTACCACACCTGACTTGCACCATGGAGGCAAACTGGAGAAGTTATCAAGATGACAGACAGAATGTTGACTTTTCTCTTCAGTTCTTTCAAGGCATCGATTGCAAAAAAACCAATATGACAGAAACCCTGTGATTATTTTCTTTCAAATCAGGCATGAAAGCAAAACCAGCACCATAATGACCCCTTGTTTGGGATGTTACGATCCCAGGTTCATTGTAAATCAGAAACATCTTGGCTTGATGTAACTGCTGGGAGCACAGATAATATTCCGTGCTCCAGCTCAAACCAGACAAGCTAGACAAGCCCTGGTATTTAAAACCAACACGGAGAACACACGTGTTTAAAGCCAGCCCTGCCCTGGTGCTTCAGTAAGTTGTATAATTCAGAAGCACAGATCACAGCTACGAAATAAACAGTGGGAAGATGAACACCAAGATCTCCTTCGCCAACAGATGTAACCCCAAAAGCAGAGAAGGGACAAACCAGGGAATTTACGTATGTCGTTATCTGCCACAAGGCACATTAAGAGCAATCAAGCAACACCACAGAGTGGAGATCTTTCTGCTAGAAGGGTGGCAAATGGACACAGGCAGCCAGTTAGTCACCAAAGCTGGAGAAGAAGCATTATGGCCACGTTGAGGACCACAAAAATCTTCCGTCGGAGTCCAAACTCCTTTTTTAACACAGACTAACAACAAAACTGTTTGGTTTAACATAAGCTGTTTCATCCGTTAAATACTTCCAAGCAAGTACTGCACTCACTGGAGACTGTCTCAGAAGATGCATAGTACACAGGCCAATCTTCACCTTACAAAAAAATTGCTCAAATGTAATTTGTTCACAGTGCCTGGAGCTTCCCCTGACTTCACGATGGTGTTTTCACAGGTTATCATATTAAAAAATAAGGTTGAAGAGAAACCAAACGTTATCCTTGTAGCCCCAATACAAAGAGACTTGAGGTAGGAAGAGAAGTTGCATTTTACAACAATCTGTTCTCAGACACCTGCAGAAGTTGAAAAGCAACACGAGTCCTTCCGCCACAGCGGAAAGGTCCTGTCAGAAGCTCTGAGCCTCATGATGCTGCTCTAGAGGGTTCAGAGTGAAGCCAGGTCTTTATCTCAATGAAACTGCAACTGGCAAGAGGCAAACAGATTTAACAATACAAGGAGAGAAGGCTTGTTTCCTGAAACATCAGAGAAGAAAAGCACCACTGCTATTAATTCCACAAATGACATGAGTATGAAGTTCACGACATGAGTATGAATATGCATACGAGGAACTGACCCAGGAATTTTGGGCCCACACTGTTAAAGGGACATGTTGGGAGAACAAATGCATTTACTGAGTTGCAGGAATAGTCAAGATTCCACACACAATGTTAAAACCATGAGTTATGCAGTGAAGGAACTCTGGAGAATAAAGGACATCTTCACAGCTACTTTGTAGCTCATGCAGGATCACAACAGTTAACACGTAGAAAAATCCCTCAGACTCCATTCCTAGCCCAGCGCTGAAGTTCCTTCAGGTCCAGGATGAACTACCTATCAAATGGATGTTATATTTGACCCAAACTAAGGCAACTGACCATTCCTAGGACCTTTTTACCACATCACCTGTACCTATGAAACCAGTATTTCTCAAAGATCCCCTAACTTTAAAAGCAAATCCCTTGGATTTCCAAAGCTAACATTACCTGTATATACTTCCTTTGAGTTTCATCGTTGAGAACGTGGGCTACGTGCTTGGAGAAGATCTTTTCACGACCCGTTCGAGCGTGGATGCCGACCATGGTGACACCGATAGGCCAGGGAGCGTTTCCGATCGCCATCTGAAGATAGGCATCGTTTGCCTGAAGGAACAGAGAGCGTGGACACTCAGTGAAACAGGAAGGACATCAGAAAGCTGAGCGTTTTTGCATTGCTGGATACAGTAACAACACATACTCCTGTCTCTCTGAATTAAGTTTCATAGCACAGTGGGGGTGCATCAAGAAGAGCGTGGCCAGCAGGTCGAGAGAGGTCATCCTGCCCCTCTGCTCTGCCCTGGGGAGGCCCCATTTGGAGCACTGGGACCAGTTCTGGGCTCCCCAGTTCAAGAAGGACAGGGAACTGCTGGAGAGGGCTACAAAGATGATGAGGGGCCTGGAGCATCTCTCCTACGAGGAGAGGCTGAGGGACTTGGGGCTTTTTAGTCTGGAGAAGACTGAGGGGGGATCTGATCAATGCCTATAAATACTTAGAGGGAGGGTGTCAAGAGGATGGGGCCGGTCTTTTTTCAGCGGTGCCCAGGGATAGGACAAGAGGTAACGGTCACCAACTTAAACATAGTACGTTCCATCTAAACATGAGGAGGATTTTCTTTAATTTGAGAGTGGCAGAGCCCTGGAACAGGCTGCCCAGAGAGGTGGTGGAGTCTCTGTCTCTGGAGACATTCAAAACCTGCCTGGACATGTTCCTGTGCAACCTGCTCTGGGTGGACCTGCTCTGGGAGAGGGGTTGGACTAGATGATCTCCAGAGGTTCCTTCCAACCCCTTATCCTGTGATTAACCAATTTTACAACACATCTTCCTAACACAATTCATGTTTATGCTGAACTCTGAGGGAAGCAAAGACTTAAGACTTTCCCTGATGAAAACAAGCACTGGAAAAGGTAGTCAAATATTGATTAAAACTATAGTTTATCAGGACTATTTTCAACTCGTCCTTCTCAGGTTCCTATAAGTTTTTCTGCTATAATCACCTTTATAACCCTTGTCGTTTTGATCGCAGACTGGACCAGGGAGCTGGTCTGTAAGCACAACCCACCGCAGGCCGATGTCATGTGTGCACAACTGAGGTCACCCTATAGACATGGGTGGCACTGTGACCTGACAGCTCTCAGGGAGAGGAGCTAGCTGAGAACCACCTCTCAAAACGGGGTTAAACAAGCACATTTATAACAATGTTTATGAACAGAACCTGAAATTTCCTGATCAAGAGAGCAGATCCCATTCCTTAACATGAAGCTGTAGCAGACAACGTCCCTGGGGAAGAACAGGGATGAAACTTGAAGGGAAAACTAATAGAAAGAGAAGCAGAAAGGAAGAGAAGTACAGAGCTTAAAAACAACCATGACAACTGAGAACCAGGAGTCAGGGGGACAGACACATACATGGAACTACAGAAACAGCTTCAAGAAGGACTCAGAGCAGGACATTCCTCCACTATCAGCAAGCAGCGACGAGAGTTCATTTATTGTCTCCTATTTAGCACCAGACAATAAGAAGTAACAAACACGACCAGCGGGTGCAAATTCTTCCCATTTGGCACTGAGCAAACTGGGAGGTGAATAATGAACACGGCAGGGGGTTACTGGCAGAGCTGAGGGGAAACCTGAAGAAGGGACAGGACTTAATCTTCACCTACATGAGGCAGAATCCAAACAGTCTTAATCAAATACCTACTTGCTGACTTCAATATGGTTTTATGATGAAACATAGTATGTCAGCATGCAAGTAAAGACCCTTCCAGGACTGTCACAACAGGGTTAATTAAGGTTGAGCAGACAATTTGCATTCTGGCATTTGCTTACTGTCACACGTTGATTTCAAAATTTAAATCTTTTGAGCATTTCACCTAACAAAGCAGTAAGAATTTGTGGCCGACTATTCACTAAGCTACACAAAGCAAACAAGCACAGAAGACAACAGGAGGCAGGAGGAGGCAAGTCTCACAGGAAGCAAAGTGATATGAGCATCTTTAAAAGCACAAGGCTCTTTAGTCTAATTAAACAAAAAAAAAAACCCACCCAAAACTTCCAAATGTGTACTCAACTCCTCCAAAATCAGTCCATGAAGTTTACATAAAGCCAAGCGCCTCCGGGAGAGAGGAGCACAGCTGATTAACCCACAGTATGTACCACACTCCTGCACACTCATGGCTTTGTTTGAGAAGGCAGTGGAAAGGGAATTTAAACGTTAACGATGAAAACCAGGAGAAAGGAAAAAAAAAAAAAAGGGCCCCAAAACAAAACCCCACTATCATACAACCCACACGTTCAGTTCTACTTTCAAACAATTTGGATTAAACTTGCCTTAGGCCATCCAAAGCTATTTTTCAATAACAAAAGCAGGTTAGCTTGCTTAACTTGACAAATTATCCCAAGTCCTCACAAGAATAATAAGAAATACTAGAAATGTAAAGGCAAAACACAGCTCAATTTCCTCTGCATACACAAGCTGCTTAAGCAAACGCTGTCCGTATTTGAGTTCCACTTCTGAAGGCAGCTACAAACAAAACCTAACCCTGCCTTTGATCTTGAGTGCCAAAGTACTTCTGCCTCCTCCAGAAAGCAGACTTTGTCCAAAAAACTTATTAACTTACCTCAGCCTTACCAGGCCAGCTAATGTGAGCACAGCCAAAGAAAGGAACATTGTCTCATATTCAGTAACTCAGTTCACCTCAATTAATTCCTAATTAATTAATCAACACCGTATTACTATTAATTCAATACCTTCATTTAACCTTCCAATATCACGTTACCCAGGCAGGATTCCTCTGCAACTTAACTCTTAACCATCTCTTGAGAAAAATTCTGCTGCTGCTTGCAAAGCTCTGCAGCTTCACCAGCCTCAAAAGATCTTCTGACAGGCTGTGGATCAAACACTACCTGGAGCCCAACCTTTAGGAGCCATTTTTCATATCTCTTGTTTGTACTTCCAGCTATGTATCTTCAAAATGCAAAATAAATGGGCAATGTTGAAGCAGTAAATTCAATCTATTAGAACACGACAGCCTGAACGTGCTGAAAGAGTGCAAATAAACATACCTTCACATATTCTCTTTGCAGCATGAATTTAATAATATCTGTTATTGATTCTTTGATGTCTGCAGGAAGTGTCTACAGGAGAAGAAGAAAGAAAAAAAATAATCTTTAGTTCAGAACAGCAGCTCAGAAAAATCATCCTACTCAGCATTTGTGCAACGTTTAGCATCTACACAAGCTGGAGGACTCTAACAAAGGAAAACACCTTTGTTATTTAGATGAAGGATCTGAAGCACCAGAGGTTAAGTGGTTACACCTGGTAGCTCCTGGCAAAGTGCAAAATACAATCCCAATTCCCTGTCTTGTTTGCAGCCCAGCAAACAGCAACAACCTGGAAAAGCAGCGGGTAGGCAGAAGAATACACTGGTCAGGATAAAAAGGTCAGAACCAGGAGTCCTGGGCTTTAGACAGAGAAACTCTGACCAGCTCACTTACCCTCTCTTCTTCAGAGAAAATAATGTTACCTTAGGAAAAGGCACTAACCACCGGGTACTCTGGAAGCAGAAGTTCAAGTCAGTCTTACAGGATTAATGACATTTAAAAGTGATTCACCCTTTTCCGAAGTTTCCTGAAGAGTGGCCTCAGGTAGGATTCTGTCTGCTTTTGGGTGGCGCTGTTCAGCTTCCCCTGCACTCCCCGCTTCACGTAGTCTTCTCTGGCGTTCAGCTCCTTCGCCCAAACGCCCAGGAGAAACTGCCAGGAACAAGCACATTTATGTCATAGTGCCATCTACTGACAATGCAAATAGGAACAGTGGTTTGAGCCACCACGGCAATGGGAGTTTTTCAAAGAAATATGAATTAAAAAGGCAAGAAGGCTCTTTCAGAGGGATAGGAAAAAACATATGGGTGAGGGTGGTGTGTATAAAAAGGCACGTAGCAGGAACACCCAAGGAAATATCAGTGCAGGGAGGGCGTAGGGGGACACAAAAGGAGAAGAAATCTAAATAGGAGATGCTGAAATTTCAGGGCAGTTTTTGCAAAGGAGCCTATGAACAGTAAAGATCACAGAGAAAATTCAACACAAAAGGCGGCAAATATGTCAAACACACCTTCACCCCACCTGGAAAACGATTTTTGCACTTTCTTTGTGTGACAGCCCAGACAAACTACACTAAAATGCCAACATATCTGAAATACACAAAGGAAAGCTTCAACCCTTGCTGTGACTTCTGATCATCACAGTAGTTACAGAGAGACCGGCTGACCCCATTGAGAGGCAATGCAGGCTTCTTGCCAGGAAACAAGGAAACAATTTTCTACTATCCACTTGAACCTGTTTCCTCACCAAAGCCAGCAGACTTCCTTTAAAATTCTCTTATTTCACATAACAGTACCAGGTGACGTTTCGTTTCAGTTTGCACTGTTCCTGGGGCAGGGAGAAGAGGACTCCACGGAGGTTTTTAATGCCATGGTAGCACACAGAAGCCATTACATATAACTGCCTTGGTTATCACATGGAAATAAAAACTATTTATTTTGTCTGGAGAAGTAGGACCGGATTTTGAAAAACATTACTCTCCCAACAGCTCTTTCCCAAGTCTAGCAGAAGTCACTATTGTGACTAACCAAGGTTGTGGAGTGACAAACTTTTAAAAAAAAGAAAACACATCTCAAGTATAATGTGAGAGTTTTCCTCTCCAAGCAGCTAGAACCAGCCCCTCTATTCACCAAATGTATCTGTGTCATAGTAAAAAATATAGCACAACTAGAGAATAATGTCTCTAGTAAACTAGAGTTTGTTACCTTCAAGAACTTGGTTATGATGTCCATATCATAGTGATCATCACCCCGTCCTAAGGACTCTCCCAAAGCCTAGAAGAGGAGAAAAAAGGCAATTGTTTCCACATTGTCTAGAAGTTTGTCGTCACCACCACAGCAGAGTAGGGTTCACTGCATCGTGAACTGTAATCCAAAACACTAGTGAAAAACAGAATGAAACAGCTATATATGTTACTTAGTTTCATTAATCTATAAAAATATTTAAGTAAAAAATGCCAGTATGATTATTTCTTGAAAGTAAGCAGGACAGGAATTTTTCATTCATTAACTACTAAATTATTGGCGTAACTAGCAGCTGTCTCACAGGACTGTATTAAGGGGAATGTGGGTGCACTGCATTTTTGAGATCCCCAAAGCCATCAATTAACCTAATTATTTTGTTAAGCTATTTCACTTCTCTGATGTATTGGGGCTTTTTACCATTTTATCCAATTGTAACTGTGATATTGAGGGAAAAAAACTAAAAATAAAATAATAAAAAAGACCAAATAACATGCTCCAATACTCTAGTTTCCTACCAAACCCTTGAAACTGTTAATACTAACAGCATTTTTTAGAAACATTTTCTAGGAGGTATAGTCAGCCTAATGATTGTCCTCACAATTCAGCGCAAGCTTTTATGCTCAAGAGCATAAAGTTAAAGCAGCATAAAATTAAGACTGTGGTGTTTTCAAACTTTTCAAAAAATGATTAGTTCTATGGCTCAAATCAAGCCTGCCCTACTATCCCTATTTTGAGGACTAACAGATTGATTAAGTGCAGCCCCATTACAACTGGTATCCATGCTGGTACTACAGTTATTTCATACCGGAACCCCTGGCACCCTAAAAAAAAAGCCAGACTATCTCCTTATAATAATGTATTCACTTAAGCTTTCAGTTATAAATCAGATTATTTCTTAAACACACATTTGGAAGGATGATATGAAGATTAACTTCTGCAAAAGGTTTTGAAGAGTCTTCAGCTCAAATTAACTTGCTTTTCAAAACACAACCCTACAATACCAGGTGGTGAATGCACTTCATGGCACTCACTCTGTGCTCGCTCACACAAATACTGCAGTGTTCCTTCAGAACACACCAGTCATTTGCAATGAAGTTTCTGGGACATGTTGTCTCTACACTTCTTATATTTCTTATATCTGCCTACTTCTGACATCTATATCCTGGATATTTTTATATCAAACATTCCTTCTGTGTGTCTCTTTTTCAGAGTCCATTTTTCTTGTATAGGGAAAATCCATCAGCACCCTCTCAAACGCTCATTGGAAAGGCTTTAGAATTTATGACCAGGCAATGTATTTTTATTAAATTCTTTACTTCCAAACATCCTGCAGAGGGAATCCTAACTATCGCTTTCCTTGTGGGCAACTCCTGCCCCCTTCTTGATGAAGTGTTGTAAACAAAGACCACTTGAGTTGTCACATGTCTACTGTAGGCACCTGTGCTCTACTCAAGGCTTAGAAACCTAAACTTCCCAACAGAGCATATTTAAGGATCCTTCAGAATGCCTAAGTTAGATATTGAAAACAAGGTAACTTGGTCTAAACAATCCTGAAGCTTTCTCACAACAATATACTACATTTAAAAACCCTTAATTAAAATCTACCCATCACATACCTCCAGTTCTTCAATAGTAGTATTCTCCTCATGGACTTTCAAGTCATTCTGTGAATCATCATCTCCTGCTTCTTGGCCACCTACAATTTCGTTCAGATACTGCTGGTCGATCTTATCCAAGGCAGCCTTCAGATCATTTCTCAGGCCCTGAAAAAGATACAAAATTACTAATTTAAAACAAAACCACAAACCTCAATTAACTAAATGCAGTTCAGTATTGTCACTGTGAACATCCAACTTCCCTTTAAAAAAAGAAAGGAATTCTGTAAAACAGTTTAGCTTTGCTGTCTGAATTTAAATTGAATTCAAAGAAGAGTTTCTGGATTGTTTTCAGCACTTAACAAAGAGCAGGTGCAAGAACTTCTGCAATGGTCACACCTACGAAAAAGACTCTTTTACCACATTTTCACCAGAAAAGCATTCAGGGCTGAATCAACTTCTAGGACTTTCTTCAAGACATTTTATGCAAGCAACGCATCGAACCACTCCAAACCAAACAGAAAACAGCCCATAACCATCATCAGCTCTACAAAACTTCACATCTGCCCTGAAAAAAAGCTGTAAGTAAAGTAAATAACACTCCTTCAGCACTATCACATAAACCATTTATGCAGTTCGCCTTTATTACCAATGATTTAAACAAGCAGAATGTTTTAAAAACCCCTACTCTAGAATAGGTGATTAAAAAAATACTCAGTTAGAAACCATATATATATTAAATAGAAGAAACTTGGCTTAGACACAGTTAGAGGATTTGCATTCTTATCTTGAGACATAAAACATAAAGCTCTGTAAAGGAGTATGACATTTCTCACCCTAAGATAAATTCAGGCACTCCACTGGGAATAGATATGCACAGTTATTTCCCCTCTTCCATCATCATACTTGACTGTCTGGAGCGGTTCTATTAATCATTTAGTAGTCTAAAAATATCTAAACCACAAGCTAGTTATATTAACGATCTACTTTTTAAGCAACATGAAGTAACAGGAGTGACTGAAACATTTAACACAAAAATCCAATACAATCCTACTTATGAGCTGCTATTTCCTGATACTCCTACTACTGTCATCGATGCCACTCACGGGGGAGAAGCTTTCACTAGCAGATTTATTATTTTTTAAAAGAAAAATTTCAGATTTGTTTATCTTTTTTAAAAAGACTTGAATGGCAAAAGGCTCTCCTTTTCTGGGCAGCCCCAGCAAAGAAACGTCTAACAATTCAGTTTGCTACAAATTAGAGAAGAAAATCAAAATCTTCACTCTCTCAGCCGAGTTGCAAATTTGGTCAATAGTGAACATAAAACCAATTGCATCTCCTCACTTAATTGATCAATTCTTAAGACAGAAGGAATAAATCAATAAACTATGATACATGTCCCTGCCCATAGCAGGGGGGTGGAACTCGATGGTCTTTAAAGTCGCTTCCAACCCAAACCATTCTATGATCTATTAGTAATTTTTCTGAATCGTTGGCTACTTTAAAGGGAAGGGGAGGAAAAAAATGAAGTTTCCCTTACAGCTTGTGAATCAAGGGATTTGAAAAATCATTTGCATTCCAGAAAAACAGGATGCAGTGCTCCTCTTGCCTACCTGCACCCTCTCAGAGATGCACACAGGTTATTTTTAACAGTAAATGACTGTCTTCTCTGCTGGTTAAAAAGCGGGTAACAGCGCAGGCCGGGCTGTTACTGCCACCTGGAGGCCCTTCTTCCACTAAAAAGGCCCAGAAGGTTTTGAGAGTTGAACATAAGGAATTGTCATTGTGCCCAAAACTATGACGTTTAACATACTTTCTCAGTGCAGACATTTCTCTTTGCTCTGAACTACCCCACCCTCCTGAAAATTATCAGTTACCGAGACTTATTTTGGGTGTCTTTTATAGGGCTCCCCCTTGGTTATCCCACTACAAACCAGTAACTAACAACTATCCTGTCTTACCTTGTTGACCTCAGGTGCAAGAATTTCTATCTTCCGCAAACGCTGAAACGCATCATAATCCGTTTCTCCGAACAGCCTGATGGGCTCACCCCTCTCTCGTAACCTCCTGATAACCTGAAAAGAACCAAAGCACCCCCTTACGCAACCTTGTAAAGGAAGCAAAATAAAATCCAGAATGAGGGATTTATTTACTTTGCTTAGAATAACAAGCTGAGCCGGGCGGGAGAGGAAATGGCAGTATTTTAAGCAGTAGAAAAATGTTCCAGACACTTCACAATCTAAATATAAAATTCCCACGGTATTTCAGTGAAAGGTCATTCCAAATATTACCAATCTAAATTTTGCATAAAACCCCAAGCCACTTGGTACAGCCTAACTTCTTCCTGCTCTGACTTGTTTAAACAAATACACACAAGCCATCTCTCTGATGGAGCTTAAAAACCATTTTCAAAATCACAAAGGAACTTGAAGACAAATCTCACTCACCTACTTGTCCAGGGCCATAAAGACACTCCCTAACCAGGCCACAGGTTCTCCCAGCACATCTGCAAGATCATTTGCTGAAAATTCTCATCCTTAAGCATTTGGCAAATATTAGGTCCCATAATCCAATGCCATCATTACTTTAAAACCAGATATAGCAGAGGTATAACATCCTCCCTCGGCTGATTTGCAAAGTCACGGGCAGAGCCAAAAACTGAACTTTATTCTCCCAATTCCTTATCATTGCTTCTAAATCTCTTCGTATTTACCATTACACATTTAGTTTATCAAGCAAGAGGCTATTGATATATGAACCACCACGCAATACTCTGGTAATCAAGAGAAGGGCTTACATTTCTTTTCATGCCTCCACTTCATTGTGCCAACAGACTGGTTGGACAACAAGAAACTAAATGAATTCTGACATTAATTTGTTTATTCAGTTCAAGTGTTTTGCTGTATGTAGGCAAGCATTTGCCTTGCAAGTGTATCACAAAACAAGGGGTGGATGGAGCAGAATAACACCTAAATCTTGACCAAAATATGCACCCAAGTGGATCAACAGCACAGAGACAGTGTGCTTTACACAGGACATACAGACCAAACCCCAAACCAAGTGTGAAACCAACAGCCCACATGACAGCTGTGATATACTACTGTAAAAAACAGTAAGTATCTTGCAAAATTGAGGGGATGTGACATCCATGGATGAACTCAGCTGTAAATTTCAGTATTTCCAAAATCAGAACTTATTGTGTCCTTCTGAACTTCCTGTTTCCCTTCTGCTTTGGGGTACAGATCTGCTTGTGAACTCAATCACACGGATATTTTTACTCTTAGAAAGGACAAAGAACACACCAGCTGCTCTGGCTTCAGGACCTTTTCTTCTAGAAATCCATGCGAACTTCCAAAACTTTCTAAATTTGGGTTCAGACCAATGAACTACACAGACAAGAAGCCAGGGGAAAAAGTCTTGGAAGAAGTAATAGTGAGATCTTCAATATTATTCAAGGGTAATACTGAATTCAGGGCACTATTCTAAATGTCATCCGAAAGAGCTGTAAAATGTTGTAGTGCATCTGTCCAAATCCGTATGACAAAGAGGCCCTACCCATATGTACCTCCCTGAGCATTCAATTGGACAGTAGATCTTTGATGAGAGAAGATGATTATTAACTGCTGACTCTAAAAATGGAGGCTTATTATTTACACTCTGCCATACAAAGTACACTTCACTAGAAAAAGCAGACCTAACAAATTTCAGATGCATTTGCTGTAAACTTAAGTAGACTTTTTATGATGATTGATTTTACCTCCTGTCTAGAAAGGGTCATTGGTAACTTTTCCTCTGCCAGTTCAAGTTCCAGCACTGGATTTGATGAAGTCAGTGGCTTCTCCTCCTCCTCTTGTTGCTGCACCTACATTCAACAGACGTAGTTACTAGTGTGTCGATGGAAATAAACCCATATATTGATAGCAGTGTGAAGATACAGAACTCTGGAGCACAGATTTTGATATGACAATATAAACCTTTAGTTTCATATTTTTATTGTCTAAAATTGAATTTCACAGAACAACAAAGGCTTTGAAAAGTATCAGTAATTAACTAACACTTTTGCAAGCTGCAGGAAATAGTCTCCGTAGCAAATGGAAAGGACAATTGCTCAAGTTTGGCAATGGCTTCAGCAGACAGATGTCAGCACTGGTGCCAAAAATAGCAAATCCACCCTCTGCCTGTTGATTCCTGCCCCTGCCGTATCCTCCTTACCCATGCAAAAGCATTTACATCGCTCTGCGATGAACCAGATGGGGGAAATCATTCAAACAGCAAATAATCTGGCAAACACAAAGAAAAGGTTCTCTTCCCAGCCCATTTAACCTCCTCATCCAGCTCACCAGGCGTAGCACATGCACGGACACAAGGGCAGAAATGAAAATGCAAGGGCAGGGAGAGAGTGGGGCTGCTTCTTTTAGTGTCAGCTTAAAACATTTACTACCTACAGCTTCAGTGAGCTGCGTACCGTTAGCAGTGATCAATGGCTTCCTCTGGGTTTTGAGAGGTGCTTGTTTAAGGTAACACATCCCTCTAACAAGCTTGCCATAGTTTCTTGAAAGTTTAAAAAAAAAAAAAAGACACCTACAATTCCTCATAGGGATAGGATCTCATTAACAACTCCTCTTAATCTAAAAGAAGGTCCCCGAATCAAACGGAGCTTTCCTTCTTCATTACTCAATATTTTAATAATGCAAAACAACTCTTTGATCAAAGTAACTTTGAGAGGGCGGTCATGTAACTATAGTTCCCTTTATAAGCTCAAATTTGACACTTCTGACAGCATGAGAAGATTGCTGTCGGTAATATTCCTGTAATAAGGAAACATTTCCAGCATTCACTCACATCTTGGTTTTTCCTAGATTCCTGATTAGAATTTATTTCCTTTCTGTTTCTGCTAAAAGGGAAATGCTCCATTTAATCCTTACAACACCCTGTAGCGTTTTCTGTGCAGGGGCAGTACACTGGCATTTCCAGTCTGTATTCGGGTTGATCAGCTTGATAAATGTACTAGAAGGACTTTTTTTAAGAAGCTTTTCTATTTTTTCAGGCCAACACACCCAGTCTTGCACTCTGGTGTCAATAGGACTCCATGTGGATGAACAGACTCACCCCTGTGGCGCCAGCCACAAAACTATATTCAGTGCTACACTAGCAAACAACAGCAATCAATCCTGAAACCACAGGTGTTTGGAACAAGCAAGGGAAGGACAATCAAATCAATGCTTAACACATAAAGGGAGAGGAAAAATAAAATGTCCATCGATGCAGGAAAGGGGGAACTGACAGGGGACAAAATATGGAAGAACTGTGTAAAAAATAATATATCTATAAGGAAATACACTCCCATGGCAGAAGGATACGTACAAATTTTAACTTACAAACATTCTTGAAATCATAAAGAGACAGCAGCATTGGGGGGAAAGATTTGATCCATTCTGTCAGCTGGACTCCGAGTTACAAGCAATATCTTTACCACAGTTATTTTGGTTTCAGTGCTTTCTTTTTCAAGCAAGTCAAATTATTACAACTTATGAAGTCTAAGCAAAGCAAAAAAGCACCTGAATTTAAAAAGAAATCAGTCTATATTCTACATCTCATTAACAGATCAAATGCAGAAATCTGGGAGGCTCTAAGAAGGTACTTAATTTAATTTAATGAAGCAACTTATTATAAAACCGTTTTCAGGGTTACATTTCAAACCAAAAGCTGGTGCTGCAGCAGCACAAACAACGGCATTTTAACCACATAAGGTTCTGAAGAATTCAAGCTAATGCTCCAAAAGCATCACGTAGTCACTTCCACTTGGAAGAGCGACCGGATTCACGGAACACTTTCTCATGACTACAGGCTGCAAGTTCCGAGAATCATTTTTGGCATCGTAGCATTGATGTTCAAATATTCTACAAGGTTTCAGAATAAGTCACTAACTGGGTAAAGTGCAATTGAAAACAAAGCTCCTGTTTGTGCCCAGTAACAGCAAACAAGATTACGAGCCTCTCTCTTCCCCAAGGGAATGCACACCCCCTCACGTACACGTACAATCAGGCAGGCAGGCAGACGCACACGCTTGTAAAAGAAAACAACATTCTTTCCATCTCCGTAAACTATTGCCCTGACACCATTACAAGGCAGATAAAGCCTTCCAGATCACTCATTTGTTTCAAAATGCGCCCCTGGGTTACCAATTGTCTTCTCATATTTTGCCAGCAAGAAAACAAATGCTGTTGCTGCACTCTTTCAATGCTGGATGGTTGATGGCCAAAACCCAAATACAAATATATACAGTACAAAAGTATATCTTTTTAATATGTGCCCACGCTATACTGATTTCTTTTGGACATTTTGACAAGACCGTGAAAATTATCTGAATGGATAAAATTACCCAAACGTATCCATTTTTTTCTGATAAGTGGGGGGGAGGTGGCTATATCAGACCCAATGTTCATGCCTAACAGCACAATTTCAAAAGAAAGGAAGACAAGCTTTGATCCCAAGCCACTTCATGCTTTCCACAAACAAACAAAAAAAAATAAATAAAAGAAATAAAAGCCAAACCATAACACAAACTTAAGTAGCTGTATATCATGCATGTCTTTTCCTGCATTGAAAATGGTTTTGGAAACTCATACCTCTCCAGGTGGCTTCTCATTTACAGGCTAATGTATAACATTAACAGATTGAACAAAGAACAACAATTATCATTAACAATGTTTATACTGTTGATAATAAAATGCAGACTTCAAAGTAAACATATACATTCCTGGAAGAACAATTACCATACCTTGTAGCCACATCTCTGAAAGTAGGCCTCCTCTTCTTTTTTAGCTAACTCACTGCGTTTGAAATATTTCTTATTTCCCTAAAAGAGAGGAAAACTGTTAACAGTTTACAGTTTCACCTAACTTGGTTAAAAATGGCTCAATCTTCCTTACTTGATTTGGTGAATTCAGCTACATCCTTTCACAGAGATGGCTACATTGTCATGTAAAGGGAACTAGTTGGAAGCACCTCTGAAAATCAGCAATAGAAAGTGACTGCAGCATGTATGTTTAAGCAGGCTTGAAAGTACAATGTGTTCACCAGCACTTTAAAAAAAAAAATAAACAAACCACCCTCTTTGTCATATAAGGCCATGGTACTTGTTAGGGTAAAGCTTCACCTCAAACCTGCACCTAACCCACACCCTCTTTGTCATGTAAGGCCATGGTACTTGTTAGGGTAAAGCTTCACCTCAAACCTGCACCTACACAGGAAAGTTGTTTAAACAAATCATACAAAACATGTCATTTGACATTCAATCAAGGAGGTGGGAGAAATCACCTTAGTACAGAGTGTTTTGTAAGCTTGTTCACCGCACCTATGAAGAAAAGTTTGATAAGACCTTCCAGACACACAACAGCTGACAAATGTGGTCACCCTGAAGCATTTCCCTTTAACTAACAGTTCCCTATGAACTATTATTTCTTTCTTCATGCTCTGCTGGCCTGATCTACAACAGTTTCTGATCACAGTTCTCCACTTCAACCACTAATGCCAAAAACAAAACTCAGACATCCATAAAGGCGCTCTGCTGGCTGTTTTTAAGCCAACCCACTCGGCACACACAGCCCCCTGTGACCCTACTACTGCTATGAAAGTTGCCCAGCAGTGGCGTGCAAAGGGATCCACACAAAGGCGGCAGAGATTTTTGTCGCCTGAAATAAAATAGCTATACCAGCTCCAAAAGGCCAAGGCACACAGCGAGGCCCTGAAGCCGCTTCTGCACCCCCAATTCTCCAGTGCTCCCAACCCCACACTCCTCCTCACTCTGCCAACAATGCTCCTCTCCCCCAAATCCTCACCCAGAGCCGTTTCTGACCCTCCCAAACCCCCAGTCTGGGCAGCCCTGGGTCCTCTCACCCCTAGGCCGCTTCCTCTCCGCCACCCCAGGCCTCACCGCCGTCCCCAGCCTCCACCTTAGGCCAGGCGGCTCCTGGGCTTCGGCCCGACCGTCCTCACCCCGACGAGCTCCTTCTCCTCCAGCTGCTGCCGCTTTCGGCTGATCTCCCGCTTCAGGATGTCCATGTCCGCCCCGGCCACCGCCACAGCCGCCGCCGGAAAATGGCGGAGCAAAACAATGGCGTCACTTCCGGGCGGCCGCAGGACAAGCCGGGCCCCCAACAGTGGTGAACAAAGGGATCCACACAAAGGCGGCAGAGATTTTTGTCGCCTGAAATAAAATAACTCCACCAGCTCCAAAAGGCCAAGGCACACAGCGAGGCCCTGAAGCCGCTTCTGCACCCCCAATTCTCCAGTGCTCCCAACCCCACACTCCTCCTCACTCTGCCAAACCAAAACTCAGACATCCATAAAGGCACTCTGCTGGCTGTTTTTAAGCCACTCAGCACACACAGCCCTCTGTGACCCTACTACTGCTATGAAAGTTGCCCAACAGTGGTGAACAAAGGGATCCACACAAAGGCGGCAGAGATTTTTGTCGCCTGAAATAAAATAACTACACCAGCTCCAAAAGGCCAAGGCGAGCAAAACAATGGCGTCATTTCCGGGCGGCCGCAGGACAAGACGGGCCGCAGGGCCACGGACGCAGCGCCCCCTGGCGGCTGGGAGGAGCGGTACCCGGGGAGGTGACAGTGGGCGACAGTGTGACTGTGAGACTGTGAGACTGTCCGACTGTGAACACGGGGAGCTGTAAGGGCTCAGCTGCACCGGAAGCGGTACCCGGGGGGTGTGACAGTGGGCGACAGTGTGACTGTGAGACTGTGAGACTGTCCGACTGTGAACACGGGGAGCTGTAAGGGCTCAGCTGCACCGGAGAGGGCCTGGGGCCGGTCACTGAGCCCAGGGATGGCGTGTTGGTTGTCACAGAATCAATCTCCATGGTTGGAAGGGGCCTTTGAGATCATGGCCTCTCCCCCAAATCCTCACCCAGAGCCGTTTCTGACCCTCCCAAACCCCCAGTCTGGGCAGCCCTGGGTCCTCTCACCCCTAGGCCGCTTCCTCTCCGCCACCCCAGGCCTCACCGCCGTCCCCAGCCTCCACCTTAGGCCGTTTCCCTGGCGTCCAACCGCACCGTGTCCTCTCCCGAGTAACAAGTGGCGGGAGGAGAAGAAACAGCCTCAAGTTGTGCTAGGGGGAGGTTTAGATTGGGTATTAGGAAAAAAATTCTGCACCAAAAGGGTTATCAAACGTTGGAACAGTGGTTGAGTCACCATCCCTGGAGGTGTTCAAAAGACGGGGTGCTGAGGGACATGGCTTAGTGGTGGGCTTGGCAGGGCTGGGTTAACGGTTGGACTCAGAGAATCGTCGTAGTATGGTTTGGGTTGGAAGGGACCTTAAAGACCATCGAGTTCCACCCCCCCTGCCATGGGCAGGGACACCTCCCACCAGACCAGGTTGCTCAAAGCCCCATCCAGCCTGGCCTTGAACCCCTCCAGGGATGGGGCAGCCACAGCTTCTCTGGGCAACCTGGGCCAGTGTCTCACCACCCTCACAGTCAAGAATTTCATCCTCATAGCTCATCTAAATCTCCCCTCTTTCAGTTTAAAACCATTACCCCTCATCCCAACACTCCACTCCTTCATAAAGAGTCCCTCCCCATCTCTCCTGTAGGCTCTTCAGGTAATGGAAGGGGCTATAAGGTTTTCTCAGAGCCTTCTCTTCTCCAGCCTGAAGAACCCCAACTGTCTCAGCCTGTCCTCACCGCAGAAGAGCTCCAGCCCTGTCTGATAAATTTATGGCCTCCCCTAGACTCCCTCCAACAGGTCCATGTCTTCTCATGTTGGGGGCCCCAGACCCAGACACAATGCTCCAGGTGGGGTCTCACCAGAACAGAGCAGAGGGGCAGAATCACCCCCCTTGCCCTGCTGGCCACGCTGCTGGGGATGCAGCCCAGGATACATTTGGCTTTCTGGGCTGTGAGCACCCATTGCTGGTTCAGCTTCTCATCCACCAACACCCCCAAGTCCTTCTCCTCAAGGCTGCTCTCAATCCATTCTCCACCCAGCCTGTGTTTGGGCTTGCCCCTACCCAGGTGCAGGACTTTGCACTTGGCCTGGTTGAACCTCACGGGGTTATGATTCGATGAGGCTGGTCACCGTCCCCAAGCAGCACGTGGGCCCGGCCACGTCGGGGTGAGGCTGCCACGTGGGAAGGTGGGATGGGAAGACACGGAAGGCTTTAACAACATCCCAAGGGAAATCAGAACCGTTTTGCTGACTCTGGGGTGCCCTCAGGTGAAGCGACGCCAGCGATCAGTGCAGGGTTTAATTGCAGGGCGCTCACAAGTGCCCCACTCCTTCAGCGGGTGCCAGCAATAAAAACCCCAAGAGATGGGAAAGGTTTGCACTCCTTGTCCCCTGGGATGTCTGTGCACCTGAGACAGAGACGTTGGGATTTGTGTCTGGTGCCTGGTTTCTGCTTCCTTCAGACTGAGAAGGCCAAGGCGGCTGGGAGGGACTGATCTCCAAAGTGTGGGCTTCAGGTGTGTACCCTAGAAGTAGAAACTACTGCCTTCGTTAGCTTGATGTCACCGGTCACGCTGCATTTCATAGAATCATAGAATCATATTGGGTTGGAAGGCACCTCTGGAGATCATCCAGTCCGACCCCCCTGCCAAAGTAGGTCCACCTAGAGCAGGTTGCACAGGAACTTGTCCAGGCGGGTTTTGAATGTCTCCAGAGAAGGAGACTCCACCACCTCTCTGCGCAGCTTGTTCCAATGCTCTGCCACCCTCACAGTAAAGTGACACAGATTTGTGACAAAGATTAACACGAAGAGAGGCTGAACTCTGAATTTCATCTCTTGTTTTGTTTGTTTACCTGCTTTTGCCCAGCAATTTCTGTCCTGTGGCTTGGAAAGTCCAAGAGGTCCAGAACAAGCTTTGAAGAATGAGTAAGATGGGCCAATTCTCACCATGCTTCAATTCACCAGGGCGACACCTTCGCTGGAGCAGCAAAGGCCACCGAACAGCAAAGGTTGAAAGTCACTATGACTTTAGCTCCTTCGTTTCGCTTCAGAGGAGCCTGGCTGGTGGCCACAACTCTGTCTCCCCTAGCCTCATGCTATGGCACATGGCAGCCTCCACCTCCCTCGCTCTGCCAGCCTTTCTTCACCTTTAGGTCCTCCCAGAGTTTTTCCTTTGCCTGTTCCCCGTGGTAAGCCCCATTGCTCCCATAGCTATTTCAGAGGGCTGTAACCACAACTGGCTTTTCACCGACGTTAGATAATCCGAGCCGCGTGCCGTGGCTCTTCCTTGCAGAAGATGGCCCGTTGGTCAAAGGGTGTTGTTTAAACCCAAGCTGGAGGGGTAGGGATTTAGAAATCCTGCCCTGCTTTACCTCAGGCTTGCAAGCCGCGCACCATGGCTCTTCCTTGAAGAAGATGGCCCGTTGGTCAAAGGGTGTTGTTTAAACCCAGGCTGGAGGGGTAGGGATTTAGAAATCCTGCCCTGCTTTACCTCAGGCTTGGATGCAATCGCTCCGCAATGAGGAAGCAGGAGGAGTCCTCCTACGCTTTGTCATAGTTCTCCTAAAAGGAAGTTATTTCACATCTGAGGGCGAACGGATCCAGGAAGGTCTCAGGAGACACGTGGGAGAACGTGCCCACACTTGGGAAAGGGAGGCTGTGGGAATACCCTCTAGTGGACTTCATGGCAAATGAATCCAGATGTCCAAGTACCAGCTGCTCCCCTTGATTAACTCTAGTGTAGACATAACCTTAGACCTTGCTTCATTTCCTGCTCTGGTTTGACATTCTATCTCAGGTAGAGACAGCATGAAACGAAGAAGGAAAACCAGCTCATGCACAGTATTCACGAGAATGATGCAGTTACTGTGAGGTGACACCTAGACCAAAGATCTCCCAGTTTATAAAAATCAAAACAAGCCAACAAGGTGGCAGGGAGGGGTGTAAGGGACAAGGAAAGCAGCTGAACACTTTATGTAGGTAAAACAACTTTGGTGAGCCTTGAAATTAATGCTGTAGCTCTAAAAGGTGTCTAAAAGTTTAATGTAAATCCCCTCTGTGATCAAGACAGTTGTCTTGTCCTGGGGAAGAGAAATCTACAAAATACAGCATCTCCCCAAAGATGCTATATATATGTGCAAATATGTATATAAATTGGCTCTGTTCTACTGAGGGCATTCACTAATATCTCCCTGAAGAAGGAAAAGGAGAAAAAAACATCTGCTCTTGAGATTTCTCTTCTTGAAGAGACTAGAAAATCTTCTAATGTATAAGAAGTGGTGTGCCTTCTTTTTCTTCCACTGACAACTCCTGAGGAGATCCACTCTGGCTTGCTCTCTGATTTCCAGGATGGCAAATTTGTTCGGCTCCTCTTTGCCTCGGGCTCAGGGCAACATTTTCTGAGGGACGTGAATTGTTGAGATGGTTGGGTCAAGTCTGGGCTGGACTCTGTTGAAAACTCCTCTGTTGCTCATAATGTCTTCCCGAGGGTATGTCTATGCTGGCAATTCGTTACGGTCCCAGCCTGCTTCGTTACGGATCTCCCGTCCTTTGACTGTCTCCATTCTTGGTCGCAGAGCGGATATCTGGAGCAGCCCTTGCTGGACAAACTCGAGGAAGCTCACACTGTGAGATCCTTGGAATCTGTTCATCTGTACCACAAGAGGGTTCCTCCGAGTCTCCGTCACTCCGAGGAGTCCTTAGAGTGTGGAAAGTGCTCAGCAGTGCGTTATGAAAGCGGACGATTCCTTCCCTGTGCTGGTCCCTCACCCATGCAATGATCCTTTTGATGACATCGGTGCATAAGATATTTTTAGCATATGAAATGCGTACTTTTCC